AATCAGACACAGTCTGAACTGGAGTCTGGCTCTTCTGGTCTCCATGACTGCTTTCCAACCACCCTGTTATGTCGCAAGGGAAGAATAGGGGTGCGGGCAGGATGATGACAATCCTTTCTTCAAGTGTACATAGGAGACAGAAGTTGGGAAAGCATTGTGAGTCGTCTGCTTTATTTCAAAGCTACCAATCCATTTGTACACGTGCATGCATATACGTGCACACACACATACCGGCACATGCACGGAAAATCTTCCCAAACCATAAATATCTGCCAGGCCATCCGTGGGCTTTCTTAAAGGTCATCCAATAGTACCCAAGGGAAAGAAGGGTTTGGTCTAAAAAGTTTTATATTTCCTCTCACTTTTTAAAACATCGGAAAATCCATTTGGCTCAGAGAAATGAATAGTATAAGACGTTCTAACTACCTAGAGCCAACAAAATGTAATGGAAAAGAGTCAAGGATATGACTGGACTTTTCGCCCAGCACATCCTGACTTTAATCTGAAAGGTAAATAGGCCAGGCCCAACCTACCAACTCTTTTTAGGTGAAATTATCTAGGTTATAAAAACAAGCAACAACTGTGTTTTCATTCTTCCTTCATTCACGGCTGACCTAAATAACTTCCAAAATAAATCCGAAGCAAATATTGCCCACCCACGGAGCAAACCACAAATTTTCCTTACTTTGATAACTGACTTTTACGAATTCTTTTTTCTTTCACCTGAATTAAAATTATGTGGAATTGCAAAAGCCAGAAAAGGAACATTCAAATTTGCATATTTGGGTTATTTAAATCTGAAGGCAAAAAAGAGAGAGATGCACACACTCTGTACCTACCAGTAGGGAGCTAATATGGCTGCGATATTTAATTTGCAGAATACAGTAAGTAATTACTTGGCACCTTTGCTAACCACAAAATACCACCTTCTCTGTCTCCATCAGACACCGAACGACCCATGACTTGAGCCAAGCCAATGGGAGCCATGCCCATTTATATCTTGCGTATGTGGGTCCTTTTAACTTATACTCCATTTTCTTCTCTACGTCACAGCTGAGAAGATGGTCTCACAGAAACCATCCTCCCAAACAGAACATCCACCATCAAGAAGCAAAACATGTCGCTGAGTTACTGAACCAACTCTGGGCAAATGCCTTTCTCCGGCTGTCACTCGCATCAAGAATTAACTCCGTGGAATCATGCAAAGCAGCAGTTACGGAGAAGGTCATGGGTGTTTCACTTAAAAGCGGACACAGGGCCCGAGGCGGTGGCGCAAGTGGTTAAAGTCCTCGCCTTGCACGCCCGGGATCCCATATGGGCGCCGGTTCTAATCCCGGCAGCCCCGCTTCCCAGCCAGCTCCCTGCCTGTGGCCCGGGAAGGCAGTCGAGGACGGCCCAAAGCTTTGGGACCCTGCACCCGCGTGGGAGACCCGGAAGAGGCTCCTGGCTTCGGATCGGCATAGTATCGGCCCGTTGCGCTCACTTGGGGAGGGAATCATCGGACGGAAGATCTTCCTCTCTGTCTCTCCTCTCTGTATATCTGCCTTTCCAATGAAAAAATAATAAAAATAAATCTTTAAAAAAAACAAACAAACAAAAAAAAAAACCAAAAAAATTAAAAAAAAAAAAAAGCGGACACAGCCCATCGGAAATGCTTCTTCGGGAGTTTCATGGGACCCATCCATTTTCCTTTTAGTCACAAGATTTCTCAGAGCCTCTAAAATGTAAATACACCTGTCCAGGCCACAGAGCAAGCGGACACTGCCAAGGTAAGTCCACTGTAGAAAGCTTCATTCAAGCATCCTCTGTGCCACCAGACCCTGGCCGGGGGAGGTAACGGAACTCACTGCGGGTGAAGAGGCACCTGTTTAAAAGGAAGGCCTCCCTAAAGATAGGGGAACGGCTGGGGAATAGTCAGTGGGCCAAGCAGACATTCCTCCTGTAGCCCTGATGTTAAAAATAAGAGACCAGAGACCTAATCAAACAACAGAGCTGGGGCAGTTAGAACAGGAGCGCAGTGATCTCAGATATGAAAAGAATTGAAGCTCAAAACACAATGGCCAAGGATACCACTTAGAGAAGACAGAACAGAGACAGAACTGTTTAAAAGCTTTACAAAATCCATGGAAATAGGGCCAGGCAAGGCAGACTAGTGGATAAATCTCAACTTTGCAACTGCTGGAATCCCATATGGGTACTGGTTCGTGTTCCAGCTGCTCCACTTCTCATCCAGCTCCCTGCTTGTGCGCTGGGGAAGCAGTCAAGGATGACCCAAAGCCTTGGGACCCATGTGGAAGACCTGGAAGATGCTCCAGGCTCCTGGCTCCAGGTCAGCTCAGCTCCAGCCATTATGGCCACTAGCGAAGTGAACCAGCAGATGGAAGATCTTCCTTTGTGTCTCTCCTCTGTAAATCTGCCTTTCCAATAAAAAATAAATAAATCTTAAAAAAAAATCCATGGAAAATATGAGAGTGGAAAACCAAACCTAACAGGAGCAGCAACATATTTGGGTACTTCATGGGACAGAAAACGTGTTAGCAAGCCCGGTAAAATCATTTTAAGTAGAGTTATATTCACAAGAAGTCTTCCCCAGTCAACAATTCAAAGATGTCATCCTATCTTATTTTAAAGTGAAAATTAGTAGTATGCGTCATTTTCAAAAATGTTACCTTTCCAACCAGCCTTGAAAACAGCTCACATAGTTGATGCCTTTAACTTGAGTGCAAGATAAAGTTGAGAGCTATTAGACATATGTCGCTATTTTAGAAATCTAAGAAATAAATCTCTCCTGCAAAAAAAATCCTACAAGCTATAGTATTCCTGGTGATGTGATTCTCATTGCAAATTTACAGACACTAATGCAATCATACTCAATGTTTGGGCAGATTACAGGTAAGGGGGTAACAAGAAAAACAGGGGAGGCTGATATTTGTGGGTATCAAAGGTTCCCAAATTAGAAAGATACCAAAAATATCAAGCCACCCAACTTTCTACTGTCCCACACTGCCTCATCACAGGCACGTATAAACCTATGTGACAGAATCATGTCACTCTGCTGACTCCCACCCTCAAAATGCAAAAGCAGAAATGAGAAACTGTGCTTTTTTTTCAATAGCAGCTAAAATCTGTCAATACAATAAACCGTAACACATCTATGAACAGTATTGTTCCTTGTGAATATTGAACTGTCACCTTAGCTTGTGTATTCTTTAACCCAATGTTGGCATGCAAGCCTGAATTCCATGAAATCTCACTACGGAAAAAAAAAAAAAAAACAATCTCAGATCCCGTTCTTCAACATCAGTGACTCTTAGAGAAAATTTTCCATTCTGGTTTTCACTATATGCTTCTGACTCATTGGTTTCGAGTTGCAAAGACCTGGCATATGTCTGAGAAAAGCCCGAGAAATAATTTATTTTTGAAGGACAGCCTTCAGCCAGACCTGAGGACACAGAAGCTGCTCTGAGATGACAAAACCATTTCCTCACTTGCTGTCAAGCTGCACACACGAGCAGACAACGAAGAAGCAGCAGCATCACTGCCCACCCCATGCAAACCACAACTCTCCCGTGGCCCTGCAGGTCTGACGTGCATCCCTACTTTCTTCCCGCGCCTTCAGTTACTCAACACAAAGGAAGTGTTCCATCTTCTGTGTCGACTGCTTACTAAGGCCTATGGTTCGAATATGGCTTTTCTCCCAAAACTCCACATCCTGTATGCTTGATTCTCAGTATGGTAAAACGGGGAGGTAGTGAAAACGCAAGCAGTGGAGCCTAGGGTGAGGCAATTAGGTTATTGGGTATGTTGCCCTTAGAATTAATTTAGTTCTAATGGGACCCTAGTTGGTTCCCACAAAAGAGTTATTACAGAACAACACCCTTGACCCCTGTCTTGCCATGGGATTAATTCCTCTCTCACACACTGACACCAGGATGCCATCCACCAGGAGGTGACAAAGCAACTCCTAGAAACCAGCAATATGCTGTTTGGACTTGCAGTCTCCAACTGTGAACTTAATAAACCTCTTCTATTAGGTACCCAGCCTCAGGAACTTTGTTGGAACAACAGGAAAATAATAAAGATTTCAGAACTTCACTGTCAAAGAAAATTCTAAAATATTCCTGAAAAGCGAGTATGTTGAGAACAAGGATAAAGATTATACCAGCAGGAGAGAGAGATCTTCCATCTGCTAGTTCGTTTTCCAAATGCCTGCCAATAGCCAGGGTTAGGCCAGGCCAGAGCCAAAAACAAGGAACTCCATATGGATCTCTCAGATGGGTATCCTAGAACTTCGGCTATCTGCCTTCCAGCAGGAAGCAGGATCAGAAGTGGAGCCACTGGGACTCAAACCAGCACTCTGATATGCGATGTCTGTGCCACAAGTGGCAGCTGAACCTATAACATCATAATACCACTCTTCATTACATAACTCTCTTTGGTAAACATATAAGTTCCTAAGAATAAAGGCATTTGCTGAGTGAGAAAGGTAGGATGAGAAGTATTGTTAGTCTTTTAAGTTGTATATATGGGGGCTGAAGCCCCAGCGTAGCATGCTAAGCCTCCACCTTTGGTGCCAGGATTCTATATGAGTGCCAGTTTGTGTCCCAGCTGCTCCACATCCAAACTTCCTTGCCAATGGCCTGGGAAAGCAGAGAAGAATGGCTCAATTCTTTAGGCCCCTGTATGCATGCAGGAGACCCAGAAGAAGCTAGACAATGCCTAGACTTTTGTCTATTTTGTTAAGAACAGACAAACTCTATTTACTTGTCTAATAATTAAAATTCGTGTCCACATTCTGCATCCCTGCTAAAAACAAATGAACAGGAGATTTACTCCCCAAGAGACTATTCGTAAACAAATCCAAATGTAGACTCTGCTTCCAAAACAGGATCACTTTGCAAGCAGCTTCAGATGATCAGTAAGACACAGAAATGTATTTTGTACTTTCACAATTTTTCCCTTTGCACTTTCTCATCAGCAGGACATCAAGGCAAACTTACAGCTGTGCAGAAGATGCAGCGGCATTCCTGGAGTATGGTCATCTTGTCCGGCGACTGCTCGCACAGGCAGAGTTTGCAGGTGACAAGGGGGGCCAGCGCCAGGTCCCCAGGCATTGGGTTTTCAGCAGTCATGGTGAGATAATGGAGTCTGCCCACTGAGCCCATCAGCCTCTCCTCTGTCTTCTCCAGTCTCCTCAGTCCCTACAGAAAGGTCCAAAGCAGAAGAGATGACATCCCACGGATCTGGTTATGGTCTCACTTACCCTCACCCTCAATGTGCTTCTCAGAACCACAGCACAGAAAATTTGCTTCTTTGGCAAGGTGTTGCTGGAGTTCTGAAGTTTCAGCTGGCCTCACTACCCTGGTACATGTCATGTAGATGATGGGGACTCAGTGAATCACTGAGGAGATGCTGGCCCGGGGCCACCTGTTCACTTAGCATGAATGGGGCTGGAGATGTGCTGCATAGTATGACAACCACAGTTAGGAATAACATCTTGTAAACCTGGAGAGTGCCAACAGTAGGTTTCATATGTTGCCATCCTGCACAGAATAATAAGTTTGTGAGGTGGTATTTTAAATAGATTAATTCAATTGAATCTGTGTGACTGAATCAGTTTCACAATGTGTGCAAATGAAATACCACATCATGTCCTGCACATGCATATAACTTTGTCAATTATAACTTTTAAAAAGGAAGAAAAAAATCCACCATGAATATAACCTCAGAATTTTATTGCTACCACCAGCTCAGTAGATTCAAGAAATTCTTAAAAATAAGGTGCCATTCGAAAAGTTAAGAATCATCATAAGATTCAGTGATTCCTACTTCTGGTTATAGATGCAAAAGAATGAAAAGCCAGATCTCAATGAATTACCTGCTCTCCCATGGCCAGAGCAGCATTATCCAAAATAACTAACTGACAGATACAACACACGTGCCCATCAATAGATGAATAAACAAAATCTGGTATATACATACAACGCAATATTACTCAGTCTATAATATTATTCGTTACAATGAAATCCTGACACCTGCAACAATATGGATGAACTCTGAAGGTTTTAGGCAAATGAAATAAGCCAGACAGAAAAGGGTAGATGTTCTATGATTCTGAAAACTTGTATGACAACACTAATGCAGCCAAATTTGCAGCAATGCAACTGCAATGGTGGTGGGAGGGAAAAATGACGAAGAAATTCTGAATATGGACAGTGGTGCTGGTGAACAACACTAAATGTACTTCATACACAAAAGGTGGAAACAGTACATTTTTGGGATACACAATTATCCCATTTAAAATTTTTTGCCATAATATTAGTGCTCAGTGCATGCCCGCACATCTATTATCTTATGTAGTCTTTCACAACCATGATTCTTTTCTTCATTTAGCAATCTGCTAAAGTTCTGAGAGTGTGTACACAGCAAAACAGGATCCAAACCTCCATCTTCTAAAGTCACACCTGGTTCCTGATCCTTTACCATAGAAATCTCCCAAGTGGATATTATACAGAGATGAGGCTGAGAGATGAAGACTTTGGGATTTGATCAAAATAAAACTTCCCTCTAGTTCCATGGCATAACTCTAGGGACACATACCTTTACGCTAAAAATTTTTAAAATTACTCTCAAAATCCTTCCACTAGATTGATTTTATTCTTTTATTGTTAAAAGAGGTAAAGTCATTGGGCCTGGTGGCGTGGCCTAGCAGTTCAAGTCCTCGCCTTGAATGCCCCTGCATCCCATATGGGCGCCAGTTCTAATCCCAGTAGTTCCACTTCCCATCCAGCTCTCTGCTTGTGGCCTGAGAAAGCAGTCGAGGACAGCCCAAAGCTTTGGGACCCTGCACCCGCATGGGATACAAGGAAGAGGTTCCAGGCTCCTGGCTTCGGATTGACGCAGTACTGGCCATTGCGCTCACTTGGGGAGTGAATCATCGGACGGAAGATCTTCCTCTCTGTCTCTCTTCCTCTCTGTATATCTGACTTTCCAATAAATAAATAAATCTTTAAAAAAAAAAAGAGGTAAAGTTATTGTGAAAAAGTCTTTCTACATCATCTATATTGCGTATTACATCAGGAAATCTCATACGCTGCTTAAATAAAATCAAAATTCGAATGCTCTTCTTATTTTAAAAGAACATAGCCAACTCTGATAAATCATACTACAGAAGAAACTGCTATACCTGCCTTCTATAAGAATCAGACTCTTCCCTCCCAATGTCCGCCCAAGAGACATAACTTCACCTGTGCAGTATTTGCCACCTAATCCCACGAGAGCTTCCATCTCAATATACAGGCACACAACTACTGAAAATGGTGAGCGGGGGAAGAGGGGGAGACAGAAAGAAAAAGATTGATGAGATCCCGGCTTGCCAATTAGCCCCTACTAAATTTTCTTAATGTCACACCAGAAAGAATCAACGGCCACTGAGTTCGCAACTTGAAATAGCTAAGGTTTCCCACCTTCTCTCTGGAGCCTCAATTCAAGACAAACTAAATAAGAGATTAACCAAGGATCAGATTCCAAAATGGAGGACAAGACATTCCTTGGTAAAGATCCAATAATGAGTCAAGACACGGTATTCTTCCATTTAGTACTGAGAAACTACCAACCAAGAGCAAATTAAATTGAAACCAACCTGTACATAAGATTCAGGATTTTGACTCAAAAATAAAGACTCTTTTCCTTAGTTTATGGAAAATCAAATTTCCCAAAACTTGTTATTCCCTTGCACACACACAAAAAAAACTAATGTGGTTGGAAAGCATAATATCTTATTATGATACTCAACCAGTTTTTTTTATCAGAAATATCATACCATTCTGATAAAAATGAATGATATGATCTCTTCTCCCTAGTCAGGCTATTTTTAGCTACCACTAGTTTACTTTTTCAAGACTGCCCAGATCACAGCACACCTCAAATTCCCTACTACTATCTTCTCGTTACCGTTTTCTCAAAATTGCTTTTACAACATATTATGAGTTCTCTCTCCCTCTGAAAGAGAAATGGCAAGTGGAAAAAAAAAAAAGAAGAAGAAGAAAGAAAGAAAAAAATAAATGTAGCCAGGGGCCCGACACAACAGCTCAATTGGTTGATCATCCATCCACTAGCTCACTGCAGGAACAGCCACAACAGGTAGAACTGAGTTGATTCAAAGCCAGGAGCTTCTTCCAGGTCTCCCACTTGGGTGCAGAGTCCCCAAGGCTTTGAACCATCCTCTACTGCTTTCCCAGGCCACAAGCAGGGAGCTGGATAGGAAGTAGCTCCCACCCAGACAACAGTTAATGTCCCGGCTGCTCTACTTTCTATCTAGTTCCCTGCTAATGTGCCTGGGAAAGCAGCCAAGGATGGCAAAGTACTTGAAACTCTGTACCCATGTGGGAGGCCATGAAGAAACTCCTGGCTCCTGGCTCCTGGCTTTGGACTGGTCCAGCTTGGGTCACTGTAGCCATTTAGGGAATGAGTCAGCGATGAAAAATCTCTCTCAGCTTCTCCTCTCTCTGTGTGTAATTTCCCATTTCAAATAAATAAGCCAATCTTTAAAAAAAAAATTAAAAAGTCTTATGAAGGCAGAGCAAGAAATTACATCAATCAATCAATGTTGTATCTTGTCAGATATATAAGCATTTACTCTTTTGTCTATGACTGAATGCCTAAAGCAATGTTTAAAATTTAAAAACATACTTTATATTTTCATGATATAAAGACTTTTCATAGTAGAGACTCAATTTGGTTTTTTGTTTCTAATTCCAAGTGTTCCAGTTGCTTGCGCTTGTGACTTAAGGAGACACAAGGAAAAAATTATATATTTTATCTCTTTGAAATGTGAGTAATCCAAACTGAAAAAGGAAGTGACTTATTTTTCTCTGCCTGAAAATACCCTGATGTGAAGATTTTTCAAACGTTTTTCCACGCAATGCAGTTGTATGAGAAACACTCTAACGTTACGCACACTATCATAGAGATTAAAACAGACCACTGCTAGTTCAAGAGTGGCCAACCCAGGGGCAATCCCTGCTGATGCCCCTTCAGCCACCCAGACACACAGAAGCAAAAGGCCTCTCCGTGCACAGGCTGATGAATCTTCAGGTTTTTGGGGAAAAAAAATCAACCAAAAATGTTAAAATGAATGAGACATAACAAGCACTTCATAAAATGAGAATATCAAACAAGAAATCCTTTCACCATTGATTCACTGGAAAGCAAGCTCTTTGGGCAGCAAACAGGGGAATCCTGAAATCCCTGGATGCCACTCGCCCGCCCACACCGGGGATGTTGGTGAATGGTTCCAAGGTTTCCAAGCACTTCATCCTTCAGGTCTTTTTTTTTTTTTTTTTTTTTTTTTTTTTTTTTTTTTTTTTTTTTATACTTTTTTTTTTTTTTTTTTATTGTTGCTTACATTGTATTATGTAGTACAGTTTTATAGGCGCTGGGGATTCCCCCCACCCCTCCCATAACCCTCCCCCCATGGTGGATTCCTCCACCTTGTTGCATAACCATAGTTCAAGTTCAGTTGAGATTCATTGCTTGCAAACACATGCCTAGCATAAAGTTCAGCGTCTTATTGTCCAGATAAGTTCAGTGGCCTCTTGGGGAGACCTTCTATGGTCTGAAGATAGGTCTAACAGAGTAAAGATCCGGTCAGTTAAAAGCCCCAACAAGGCCTCAGTATCAATATACAACATTATGGAATTAATTGACATAGTAATGGGTAGACAATATGTTAAAAATAATGCAAGTTCCATTCTTCGAAACATCTGGGTTGAGACAGTATCAATGACCGGTTCAAAAAATAACCAACAACCAAACAAAAAATTACAGGTTAAATCAAGGCAAACATGTGGTATCTAATCTTTTGGGATTCACTCATTTCCCTTAGCATTATAGTTTCCAGTTGGGCCCATTTAGCCACAAAGAACTGCATTTTGTTTTTTTTAATAGCTGAGTAGTATTCCATGGAGTAGATGAACCAAAGCTTTCTTATCCAATCTTCTGCTGATGGGCATTTCGGTTGCTTCCATGTTTTTGCAATTACTGATTGTGCTGCAATGAACATAGGGATGCATGTTGGTTTGTCGTAAAACAGGTGTTTTGGATATATTCCTAGGAGTGCTATTGCTGGGTCATATGGTATGCAGATTTTGAGTTGTTTGAGTGTTCTCCAGACTGATTTCCATAAAGGCTGTACCAATTT